ACTCGTCGGGAACACTCATGTGAAGAGGAGGACTGGCAGGCCCAGGACCCAGCCTCCTTCCCAACGACTGACCAGACGTCACTTCATAGAAGTGCTGCCTGAAGGGAAGAGGAAACAGTGTGTTCTCTGCAGAAAGAGACAGAGGACCTTCGATGGCTCTGCAGGAAAGGTCAGGACCTGGTGTCCTGACTGCCACATTGGTCTCTGTGCACGCTGTTTCCGTCAGTATCACACAGTTGATCACATTGAAGAGTGAAAGGCTGTGTGTACTGGCATATGATGGAACATGACTCATGTTCCATCATATCAACCCTTCAAGCAGTTTCCCCATCTGTGTGCTTCATTGTAAATAACTAGTGAGTGAGTAGGACTTACGCCGCACTTGCAATATTCAAGCGACATCACAGCGAGTTATTGTATCTATGTACTTATTGTAAATGTTTCATATGTGTGTATATATATTAAAGGATGTTTTTGTGAGAGAGTATGACCTAACGCCGTATTTGCAATATAACAGCAACATCATGGCAATTCATTGTAAATAGATCATTGTCTATTGTATATGATTATGTACTTATTGTAAATGAAGTGAGTTTGTCTTATGCCTCTTTTAGCAATATTCCTGCAAAAATATGGCAGTTTAATGTATTTATGTTCATATTATGTTCTATATTTATTGTACATGTAATTATTGTGTGTTTGTAAGGATCTGTTGATGAGTAGGACTTCCCACTGAATCTGCAATATTCCAGCAACATCGCAGCGAATCTTTGTAAATAGATTGTATATATTGTATATTGGTACTTACTGTAAATACTCAATGTGTATATATATATTTCAGGATATATCTGTGAGAGTATGACTCCATGCTGTATTTGCAATATAGCAAATTATTTGCAATATAGCAGCAACATCACAGCGATTCATTGTAAATAGATTAAATTATATTAATGATATATATTATATATATTTACTGTAAATAGAAAATGGATTTGTGTATATATAAAAGGACATGTTGGTGCATGAGTATGATTCAACGCCACATTTACAATATTCCAGTTAATTCGTGGCGATTCATTGTATATGGATTATTGATCTTTTGTTCACAATTATGTACTTCATGTAAATAGAGTGAGTATGATTCATGCCGCTTTCAGCAGTATTCCAGCTAAGATGCGGCCCTTTTTTTAAACTTTATTGTACATAGTTTATATATTATTCACATGTAAATACTGTCAATAAATATGTATAGATTGAGAGATTTGTACATTTGTCTTATATATCTCATTTAAACAGTTACAAGATTTGTTACTGATGATACTTTTCAAAATATTAAATGAAGTACATTAAGGACAGTAAGTATAACAGTAAGGACCTTGGAATAAGAAATAATTTTCTTAAGTCTTTCCAATTACAGCCATATGAAAGTGTGGTTGTTCCTCTGGAATATTAACAAAATATTCAAAAATGTTCACAGATTATTCATGTATGCATATGTAAGCATACTTTTTAATTATTAATTGATATATGGAAATCGATTCTCCAATGTTATCATAACCAATGACTTACATACATCTACAGAACTAAAGAAACTTTTTACTTCTAGTCCTTATTATGATAAACCCTTAAAAATTGAACATTTCTTCTTGTCCGTATTATACCTTAACTATTGGTCAGTTTGGCAAGGACTATTGGACAACTGCCACGTCTTTGCCGTAACGTATTCTGATAAAGTTCGCTCAACAGACATAATGTAATCCATAAATTTTAGCGGTAAATGCCACGAGCAAGCGCGGACGTGAGAGAAGACAGCAAGCCGTGAACGTATTTGTTCCGGCTTGCGCAAATCTGAAATGATGCCCGTTTTTTTCGAGCGGGTAACCTGTGCCTTTTGGTGTTTACAAATTCTTCATAGATTACCTTTTTTTCAAATTCGTCAAACATTACCAGGAATACATGGTTTGATTTGTATTAAATGTCCGTTGAAATATACTTCGGATAATGGTATTCATAACAGCTAGTCTACCACATCGCCATGGAAATCATTCGTCAAAAAGTTCCCGAAAGAGATCAATTTTGATTATACTTTGAACATTTCATGACAAAAATCACATATACATCCATCTGACTGTAATAAATGTTAGCTAATACAGTTCCTTTGGGTTTGTGATCAGTGGATCCATGTCTTTAATACTGCTTGATGGGCACTCAGTGGCTGCTGATGTAAGCAGGGACGGAGATGGAAATCGGGAAAATATGACCAGATCGCAACGTTTGAATCTTTGATGAATCAATGCGTTTATCATCTCCAAATTACGACAGATTTCAGACCATCACTAGAACACTAAGCTTTGCTTACAGAATGATGTTCAAATGTACTTACTATCTCGGTTGCTGTCAAAGATGTTATAGTTAATCCAAAATCCCAAACACCGCTGAACACGGTCGACGACATTTTGAAATATTCAAAACTAAAGCTGTCGACAACACAAAAGGCATTTTCGTATTGTTTCTACTTCATGTGAATTTTTTTTTATTGTTTTGTGTTTGTATAATCGTTATTAGTTAAAAATGAAAATAAAACAACGTTATTAAGGATTCATAAAGATACGAGACTAACTCGTTCAATCGTCTGTATGCAAATTTCGTCGACGTGCAAATGGACATGTCCGCCATCGCCTGGTAGGAGTATTTACAGTGAACTGATTGACATGAGCCGTGAGGAATACCTTTCGGTGCAAGAAAAGTAAAAATATGCCATGCATAAGGGCATGTTCTTTGCAGATTACATAGTATGATTTTCTTACTAAAAAATGAATAATGACCGAAAAGAAAAATAATTTATTGCAATGAAGAAAACACAACACCGCGTATAAGTTTTAGTTTGAAATGCGATTTCGTTCTCTTCTTTCTAAAAGTACGTAATTTTGAATTTCATAGCTAAGGTTACACGTTACAATTTATATCAGCATGTAGGTAATAAACCACAGATTTTAGGGATAAGATTTTATTCCTTACTCATAAATAGTTTTTTCATTAATATGCTTTTTCCGACATGATATGCAAACGATAACGTTACAATTTCACTAATTTACGGACAAAATGGCGTCACACATATTTGAACAAATTCGTAATCGACGATTTCGCGGACGATTTTCCACGGAGATGTTTCATTTTCAACACGGTAATCGGGAAACAAACGGGCTTTCGCATAATGTTTTTGGTTTTTATATTGGTGGAGATTTACAACCTGACAAGACGCTCAAAGTATCCAGTGCGCAATGCTAACAAAACAGCCGCCATGGACATTTTGTAAAAAATCGCATATTCAATACGTTTGCCGAGCTATAAACTACTGTTAATCACGTTAATGCTTTACAATATTTACATAGACAGTTAGGGAAATGGTTGTGCTGTTATAGTGTGAAATTTGAAAATTGTGGGTTTTATCGTTGTTACGTTACGTCGTTTTTAGACGAAAGTGTGCAGTTTCCAGAACGTCACTCGCAAATAAACTCGGCACAGCGATAGTACACAGGCTATTTTTAGGTGGCAGCCAGAGGGTTAAAGGCGGGCATGCTCCAGAGTTTGTTGCTCATATTCAGTCTAGATCTCGACACTGTAATTTGTGTCATGTATGAAACAGGAACACTATCTCTGGGAAGGGTAATCGACTGTTAGACTGATGTACATCAAAGAATTCTACTTTGCAGATATCCACAGTAACGTTTGAAATGACTTCAATCAAATGTAATATCCCCGAATCCTATTGTGCAGAGGCATTAGCGAGTAAGTGTGGGTTGGCGTAGTTCTGAAGGTATTTCATGTGTAAACTTGTGGGAAAGTCAAGAGTGAATGAGTATGGTTTTACGCCGCTTTTAACAATATTCCAGTAATACCACGGCGGGGGACACCAGAAATGGGCTTCACACATTGTATCCATGTCGGGAATCGAGCTGACATTTAACGTCGCATCAGTATTGTTTCATCCATATAGCGACGAGAACAAGAATTCGAACCAACGATTAGCGGATCCTGCAGATAGTCATTCTCCGCTTAAGATAACTGGGCTGCGCTATACTCCTAAATGGTATTCACTCACTAAAACTTGCTTCGGACTTTATAATCGATTTAGCAGTAATGAAAATTAAAACAATCAAAGAAACACACGTTCGTTCCATCTGTCCATCAGCTGATTTACATTTGAGTGAGTTGCGCTTAAGGGGACTTCGGGCAGTTAAGTCATGCATTTATGTCGGCCTATAAGTCAATCTGATTAAAATGAGATCTTAGTTCTCGCTACCGCTCAACAAAGATCTGACGACATCCCATTACGGTTCACGTCAGAGCGACCTTTCATCCGACCAATCAGATTGTCGCTTACCAGATTTGGAAAGTGACAGTCGCAATATTTTCTAATCATGTAACCCCGAAAGGGTTAACATCGGGTATTTCGAAAGATAGTTACGGTCCGTACGACTGAATCCGCCCAAACCATCGTCTGTCTCACTTCAATGGGGTAAACATTTCAAACGGAAGAGATTTGCATAGCCATTGAGAAGTACCGCTATACAATCTCGGTCATCTTTAAGAATATTTTATAATTTTCTTTTGTCCAGTTTTCAAATTTTGAATCGAGAATATTTTTTTAAGTGTCTGGTTATGAAGTCGCCAGTTTGAAATCGGTGCTGTAATGCTCGAGAAAGCTGCTTTCTGATTGGCTAATGCCGACTTCCTGTTTCATTGACCGGTCAAAGTTCGCGAAAGGTCGATGTCCTCAGGTGTTTAGCGGTATCTACAACTAAGATCTGATTTTAATGAGATTGGCCTAGAAGTTAAAATGTGGGAGAAAAGTCTCAGAAACCGGGTACCAAACCAATGATCATAATCAGGGCGAATCTGTGGTTTGAACCCATGATCAGCTGATCCTGGCACGCCTTAGACCACTGGACCACCATACCCACGTATCTGTCAGTTGCCTGTGTGTTGTCATCGTGCAGTGTCCCCGGAGTTAGCCACGTACCTGCAGACTGTGCTGTCCATGGAGTTGACGGGGTCGCAGTTTGAGAACTACACGACGTCCCTGCTGTCCGTCACCGTCAACAACCACCACTACACCGCCACCTCCGAGGGTATTGTCTCCGCTGTCCAATGTGACGTTGGCGCTGTTTACATAGGATCTGTTTGTGGTAGGGATTGTTTCAAATTTTGAATAAGGACGTTTCACTTTTAAATTTAATTTTAATTTTTTTTCTTGTTATTAATAATATAATTGGCCCGTTCCTAATTGTTTGGTATTTTTAAACACTTTTTAAAACAACTTTTTAACACCGTTTTCGTTTTATATCCGAATTCCGAAATTATAAATACACCATATGTCATTCATGTGTGTCAAGATTAGCAGGGGAAAGTAGACGTGGTAAATATGGCCTCGGGAAGCGTCTTTCCATACCCGTGAAGATAGCCGGGGTAGAATAGGCCTTCAGCAACCCATGCTTGCTGTAAAATGCGATTATGCTTGTCGTTAGAGGCGACTGTGCTTGTCGCAAGAGGTGACTAACGAGATGGGGTGGTCAGACTCGCTGACTTGGTTGATGCATGTCATCGATCCAAATTGCGTGGATCGATGTGCATGACGTCAATCACTGGATTGTCTGGTCTAGACTCGATTATTTACAGACCGCCGTCATATAGCTGGAATATTGCTGAGTGCGGCGTTAAACAACAAACAAACAAAACTTCAAGCCGCGGGTGCACGGCCAAAAGAGGCCTCACGGTGCATTGAAAACATGTTTACTTTTATAGATTCGTAACCTACCTAAAACAACCAATCTGAGCATAACAACTTGACAGCAGTGGCGAAGCTACCATTGTAGCTGAAAACCAACTGCTTACAAATAAGAAAAAAACGCAATTTGTTTTTACACCTAAAACAGCACTTATTGTTGGGTTTTTTAATCAGTAAACCAATTGACCGTTTATTCAGTTAATTATTCATTCAAACTCTACACGGTCGTACATATTTATTGTCTAACTTGAAAATCCGAATCTTTACGCACTAGGATTTTAGTGGTAGATGGTTTATCATAGCTGTGAAAATCCTGGTCACAATGCCAGTGAGTTCTGCTACTGCAGAACGTTCGTTCAGCGCAATGAGGCAGATCAAGACATACCTCTCGTCAACAATGACCAACGAGAGGATGAACTGTGTGTCGTGATGGGCGCACATAACGGTTATATACGGTACAAGGGAAGTAACTCTTGTCTTATGTTATGAGCTCAGAGAAGTAAAGATACACCGGAATAATTGACGTGTTGTTGGTTAAGTTGTAAGTCTTCCTACGACAAACAAAAACAAAGAATACGTTACAAACTCTATGGCACTCCTCCGCATCCACAAGGACATTGACAAAGTGATTGACGACTTTTCTGGAGGACGGAACCGCCAACTTGCCCAAATCTTTGAATTAGAACTGATTTGTCACAAATATTTCAACGTTCATTCAAAGCTTCTGCGATTCTGTCGATGACATGGTGACTTTATATTTATTGTGTATTTCAATGTGAGTGAGTGAGTTGGGTTTAACGCCGCTTTTAACAGTATTCCAGTTATATCACGGCGTGTCAGCTTAATGTGGGAGCAAAGCCCGAAGTGATGCAGGTCTCAGACGTTTACCCCTTCGGTGAAACCAACGAGCACAGTATGGTGCTGACAAACCTAGAAACATTATCGGGGCGAACCGGGATTCGAACACACAATCATAGGTTTCTGGCGTTCAATGTGTCGAAAATAAGTTGGTGAAACACGTATATAGGGGCACTCAGGAATATGCTTTTGCTTACACTTAAAATTAGCCAAGATGCGCTCCTTGGGGGTTGATTGTAAGTATAGATCTACATACAGTAAACTACGGTTATAAAGAACTCAAAAGGGCTACTATTTTAGTTCGTTATAACCGTAGATCGTTACAAGCCTATATACAGCATAACTACAGCAAATTGTCGGGACCAGAAAAGTAAGTTCGTTATATCCGTAATTTCGTTATAAGCGTGTTCGTTATAACCGTAGTTTACTGTACAGCAATGGATATATTTTTAATCGGCCCTACATTGTCTATACTTACCACCTACCTCCTAGTTTCGGTGTCTGCCCCCTGGTGTTGCAGTGAAGTGCGGTACTGGTACCCGCCAAGTACAGGACGTCTGCCACCTGTGTGACACCGGGACATACCAACCACGCGAAGGTCAGAGCCACTGCATCACATGTCCACAGGGGCAGATAACTCTGCAGACAGGATCCACAAGGTCACAGGATTGCATCAGTGAGCCATTTATTTGTGATATTTTGTCATTTTTTTTCATTTAACATCTAACTTGGGATATTATAGCTGTTTCTCTAACCCCTGTACTGTACCAGACAATCCAGTGATTGATATCATGAGCATCGATCCACGCAACTGGGATCGATGACATGCAACAACCAAGTCAGGGGGCCTGACCGCCCGATCCCGACAAGGATAGTTTGCCTTTTACAGTAAGCATGGGTTGCTGAAGACCTATTCTACCCCGGATCTTCACGGGTCTCCACTGTACGCCCCCCCCCCCCCCCCCCCCCCCCGACTTTCATATATTGCTACGACTGTTGTGAACATGTTTTACTGTCAAAGCCCTACAAACACTTTGAGAAACGAGGCCTGAAATCACACATTATTGCGTGTTCCAGGTCGAGAATTCTTCTCTCTTTTAGCCTTATTGAGATTGATAAATTTGGACATTTTTTTTTCATTTTTTGGTTATTGTATATAACATATATCTTCTTTTCACAGCTCCCAATGTCGTCACACTTCCGCCACTACAGGTACTTCCGGTTTAAATCTGATAACCCCATTCACTTCAGCTGGTGCTGCGACATCCATCTTGAAACATCTGTGTCAGCGTAATTACAGAATAACCGACGAGGAATGTCGGATTATCTGTTTTGAGTGAGTGAGTTGGGTTTAGCGCCGCTTTGAACAGTATTCCAGTAATATCACGGCGTGTGAGCTTAATGTGGATGGAAAGTCCGACGTGATGCACGTCTCAGACGTTTACCACTTTGGTGAAACCCACGAGCACGGGTATAGTGCTGACAGACCTAGAAACATAATCGAGGCGAACCGGGATTGGAACCCACAATCATAGGTTTCTGGCGGGCCCAAGGGACGGAACTGTGCACACAGCGAATTGCGGCGCCTTAGACGACTGGGCCACCCGTGCCCCCGTCTCGAGTAAATGACTTACAGCAGTCATTCACCAGGGGCAGATAATAATCCATATTGCCGTGTAGGTTATTCCATTATATATATATATATATATATATATATATATATATATATATATATATATTGCTGAGTGCGGCGTTAAACAACACGCATACAAACATTATTCTTTACTACCTCATTGTCATTTGAAGAAAAGGTACATGAAATTGCAACCCTCCACTTGAGTCATCCTTTTGTTCAGATGACGTGATGTTATCAATTGTTTACGTCATTAATAATAATATATATTAAGCTATGCCTTTGTTCTCAAATGACCAATCAGCATTGGGAATCGCTGAAATGCGCATGTGCAAACATTGGAGAGTTATGACACACGAACCTCCTATCCTCATTGGTAATGTTAAACTTTCTCGCTTTCAATTCCGTTGTTAAAAGGTCAATGAATTCGAAAGGAAGGTTGATCTTCAACATTGATACATTTAGTAGCCAAGAAATGCCTCGTTCCTCTGAACCTCATAACTCACGATATTAGTTCAACTCTTATATAACACAACTATTGCTATGACTTATATGCTGGGGCGGTCGGGTAGCCTAGTGGTTAAAGCGTTCGCTCGTCACGCCGAAGACCCGGGTTCGATTCCCGACATGGGTACAATGTGTGAAGCCCATTTCCGGTGTCCCCCGCCGTGATATTGCTGGAATATTGCAAAAAGCGGCGTAAAACCATACTCACTCATTTGTATGCTTGTTTCAGATTGTGACTTAAGTGATTCAGATCGGGAGATAAGGCGCCAAAGAAGTGTCTGAAATACTCTGATGGCGTGGTTAATAAAATATCTGTCGTTGCAGTCTTTAATACCTCAAAGGAGTGAGTGAGTCTGTCTCATTAAAATCAGATCTTAGTTCTCGCTACCACCAAACAATGATCTGAGGACATCTCATTACAGGTCATTACCGACCTTTCATCAGACCAATCAGAGCGTCGCTTACCAGATCAGGAAAGTGATAGTCGCAATGTGTTTTCTGATCATGCAATCTCGAAAAGGTTAACATGAGGTGTTCCGAACGACAGTTACAGGCTGTGGGTCTGATTCTGTCAAAATGATCTATCGCTTCAACGGAGTCAACATATCAAACGGAAGGGACTTTCTATTACCCGTTGAAAGTACTGCCATAAAATCTCGGCTATCTATTAGACATTTCAGAATTTTCTTATGCCCAGTTTTAAATTTTGAACTTTGTCAAAATATTTTTCAAAGCATAGACTGGAATGGAAGTCGCCAGTTTGAAAGCGAGAAAACTGCTTTCTGATTGGCTAATATCGACATGTTGTCAGTCATTTCATTCGTGGGTCAAAGTTCGCGAAAGGGGCTCTGACGTGACCTTAAGGGGATGCCAACAGATCTTTGCTCACTAAGATCTGGTTTTGAATATGATTGGTGAGTGAGTGAACATGCTTTTACGTCGTGTCTAGCAATATGCAAGGGACCCCAAGAATGGGTTCACGCGGTGTGTTGGGATCGAATTTAGAATATCCCACTTTCTAATCTTTTCATATTAAAATACCCTACTCATATTTTGATAATGAGAACAGGGGTCATTGTAAGTCGTATACTGAGCCACACCACAACCAAAGATCCTCTTGAGATGTATAACCAAAACACGGTACATGACACACACATGGGACTACTCTGTATTCTAAATGCAGAACAAACAATGGTATACGCATACCTCCAAACGTAATTATATGTCTTTTCCGTGATTATTAATCGAACAAAAACCTTGTATTCTTGCAGAACGTATTTCCAGTGCCCTGATTTACAAAGTAACCGCAGCCTGTTTAAGTCTATAGCAATAACGACACATTCGCTTTGCGCAACTGAGTCAAGATTTTATATAGACGTAGAATGTTACAAGGACCAACTGTGAGTGAGTGAGTAAAGATTGACGCCGCCTTCAGCAATATCCCAGCAAGATGAGGTCGTGGGACACCAGAAATGACACTACATGTCGAGCGAAGCTTTAACGAACTACGGCCACCACCAATGTACGAACACCTGGTGTCACTGTAATCTCACTCCATCGGGTTAATCAACCACCCGTGATGCAGAGGTTCGATAGGAGATGCAGCAGTAACGCATCTCCATTAAATATTGGTTATGAAATGAGGCCGTGTGTAACTCGGGGAAAGTTAAACGAGCTCTACTCGGAGCGTGAATTCGACCCGTGAAGATCCGGGTAAGAAATGATCTTCAGCAACCCATGCTTGTCGTAAGAGGCGACAAAGGGGATGTGGTGGTCAGGATCGCTGACTTGGTTGATGCCATCTTATCCCAATTGCGTGGATCGATGCTTTTGAGGCCAGTTACTGGATTGTCTGGTCCAGATTCGATTATTTACAGATCGCTGTCATAACTGGAATATTGCTTAGTGCCTATACGAACCCGGATCTTCACGGGGCTTCCTTGTATACACATTGAGACTACACCACGAAGCGGCTGTATCTATTCACGGGTGGAGGATGCACGTGGTGTATAAAACTCATGTAGTGACAATGCTTTACCATGATTCGCTGCTTTCTATCAAATTGGACCCGTGACGATCCGGGGTAGAATCGGTCTTCAGCAACCCGTGCCTGCCGTAAGAGGCGACTTACGGGATTGGGTGGTCTGGCTCGCTGACTTGGTTGATGCATGTCATCGTATCCCAATGACGTGGATCGATGCTCACGATGTCAATCACTGGATTGTCTGGTCCAGACTCGATTATTTGCAGACCGCTGTCATATAGCTGGAATATTGCTGAGTGCGGCGTTAAACAACAAACAGATTCTATCAAATAGTCGCGCACGTTAGTGTTTGAACTTATGTGACAGAAATACGAATATGAACAACTCTTGTAGTAGCAAAGTTTACAGTATTCAAATTCATTTATCGCTTGACACATCAATCGCATGCAGCAGTAACTCCATGTACCGCTCCACGTCAAGTTCTTTAACAATTTGAACATTTGGTTTCTTTCCAAGCCGCATCCCCCAGTCCACGACCATCTGACCTCTGGTCAAGTGACCATGCAGTTCCACGCTTGCGTACACGTGGTCACTCTTCGTGATGACCTTGTTATCTATAGCGCATGCAGCCGCCACCTCGTCACAAGGAATGTACGTTGTCCAGTTTAACTCCTTGCATGTGGACACCATGAGGCGTTCGACTTCCTTCATAAACTGGCATTTCTTGGAATTGTGTTTTCTCAGTTCTGCATACTTTTCCTACGGAAAAAATTGACGCTGTTAGTGTGGTTTTACCCATCTTCACGAGGCAAGGGAGTTAACTGACTATAAAAGTCCAGTTTTCATCCTTGTCGAACTAGGCTGGAATTATGGAGTTATATTTTGGCTGGACTAACGAGTCTATGCTTAGTCCAATCAAAATCGCGTTACACACTAGAGTGAGTGTGTGAGTGAGTTGGGTTTAACGCCGCTTTTAACAGTATTCAAATTATATCGCGGCGTGTCAGCTTAATGTGGGAGGAAAGCCTGAAGTGATGCAGGTCTCAGACGTTTACGACTTCGGTGAAACCCACGAGCAAGGGTATGGTGCTGACAAACCTAGAAACAGAATCGGGGCGAACCGGGATTCGAACCCACAATCATAGGTTTCTGGCGTGCCCAAGGGACGCAACTCTGCACAGCGAATCGCGGCGCCTTAGACGACTGGGCCACCCGTGCCCCCCTTTACACACTAGACATCCGGTTAAAGGACCGTGTGTACCGTCAACTGGGCGTCGACAAATATTTTCAAAATCTTTTCATGTTTTTAATCATGGTGCTCAAATGATTTGATGCGCTTCGCGAGGTAAGACCCGTTTTATTACAATATAGAATTTGATTATCGATCAGATCGTCTTGACTGAAACAAATGCACGTGAAATGAGAGGTGGAACCTGGTTGGTCAACAGGAAGGACAGAAAAGGGACATAACTCGTAGTAGCCACTGGTGGCGCTACGATCGAGCCCATCCATTCAAACGTAGTTCGAATTAGAGAAGGGTGGAAACTGGACTTTTATCATCAGTTAACTCCCTAGCTTCGCGAAGATGGGTTTTACCCCGCTTCCGGCGACATTCCTGCAATATCATGGCGGGAACACATATCCCGGGGAATCGAACTCGGGTCGTGCTTTAAAAACTAGGATTCTGGAATTATTTTCTTGTGAGTACAGGGTTGGAACCCAGCAACCAGTGCTTCTCGAAGAGTCAGTAAAATGAGGATCGGGTGGTTAAAATGTATGACCTGTCTGATTGTGTGTTCATGCGGCCCACTGTCTGGGTAGACTAATCATGGTAATCTGGAAGACCTATTACGCCTCTAAATACTTTAAGATTTTTAGTTTGTTAAATTATAATAGAAATATAATATACTGCCATAAAATATCCTTTCCACGACAAAGATATAAATCAACATTTTGTGTCAGGGTTAATGTGAAAACTATTACTAATACTTCAAATATACTTCCAATACTTGAGAATACTTTTCTTCAACACGAGTATCATTTAAATATTCATGATAGTAAAACAGACATACCCAGGTCAGAGCGTACTGCTCACAGAGTTCCCAACAGGTCAGCGTGATGGGGCATCCCAGGGAGTTCAGCACGATGTGGGCGGCTTCCGGGTCACTGTAAAAGTTGAACTCCCCGCTCGGTGTGACGTTACCTTCACCTTTGATAATTGTAATTATCATTCACGATTCAAGTTCTAAAAAATATATACCTTTAAAGGTAGGTTGATTATTTTTTAAATGTGAAGTTTACACACTTATCCATTGGACGAGGGGTCGGTCACATGACCGCGACATGTTCATCTACTCATTCGCCGACGGTGGCACAGATCAGGAAGTCACAGTTCTGTGTGCACATGGTATTCCATAAGCTCCCAACAGAGTATGACCGCCTCCGTGGTCGAAAGGTAGGGCGTCCGCCAGGAGAGCGGAAGGTCGAACCCAGGCCCCGTCATACCAAAAGACGTTAAAATATGGATGGTACTTGTTGTTACCCTGCTTTGCGCTTGGCATTAAGGGGCTATAAAACAAGGACTGGAGTCATTATACTGTGTCTGAGTGGGGTATTCATTGAAGTGATGCAGGTCGTCTCGGACGTGTACCACCCTGGTGAAACCCACAAGCAAGGACATGGTGTTGTCATACCTAGAATCATAATCAGGGCGTATCTAAAATTCACGATTATATGAAAGCACCGTAAAATACTACTTGTCGGCGGAGAAGTCGAGAAGACGGACAGGTCTTGAGTTCAAATTGTAGCTGTTCCATGCAAATACTGCTGCAAATAAGAACATTTCTCCAAAGTGAGTTGATTTCACAACAGGAGACAGTCATGAGTTGGAAGTAATCTGGCTGGTTCGTGTGAAACACCCACGATCATAGGATTCTGGTGTGCCCAAGGGAGGCAACTCTGTGAAGCGAAATGGGGCGGATAGGGGACAGGGCCACTCGTGCACCCGTCACATAACCCAGGATAAAACTATTTTTATTGCAGAATATTTAGCGAGAAACTTTCTAATTATTCCGAGGTTCCGGTTTTGTAAGGTAAGGTTAGTATCGAGAATGGCCCCGAGATCTTTAACAGTGAGTTTTGATTGGTGTAGCACCTAAGCCACCTAGTACTGGGATGAATTCTGGTCAGGTCTTTGCACGTCTGCCTGATGGACCTCTGAGAATGGACGCTGTCTTATCACAGAGCTTAACCACATGCCAGAGATGGCACGATGAACGGAGACAGCCAAATGAACATATTTCGAATACATACTAGTATCATAAAGGGAGATATTTTGACCATACACAACAGTACCCAAATTAACCTACCTCTGTAGTTGCCGCCCATGATGTAACATGCTTTTAGCCTGGACCCGAGATCTTGATCCATTCGTACAGCCATGGACACATTGGTCAGTGGTCCTATCGCAATCAGAGTTATTTCCCCTGAAAATGGAAAATCCATTCCAATATGTTGATGTGGCAGAGTGGAGTGAATGAGCTAGGTCTGACGCCTCCTTGAACGCATTCCAGTCAGCATCCGTTATATCTCCAGGGGGAGCATTTCGGTGAGCCTACACCAACCCCCGGATCCTTTCCTGTGGTTCCTGCTATCGCAAATTACCTGCCCTTGATTTTCACTAACATTTTCCGACCAATCAAACGTCGACAGAAGGGGATAGGATAAGGGAGGTAACTCGTATTACCTAGAAACCAAAGCCACCGCAAGTTTTCATGAACATGAAGAGTTGAAGACACCCTTTCCATAAAAAAAGATGTCTGAGGGCTTTGTTTTGCGTGTCAGTGACTTTTTCAATGTTGAATGTCTCGAATTGGGATTGTTCAGTAGCAATTATATCAGCAAATATCGCTTATTAGAGTGGGGCGCTTATTACGTCGAATACGGTATTTGAGATTGCGGGAACTACGGAATGGATCCAGGGGTTAGTGGAGATTTACAGAGGATGTCCAGTTATATCACGGCGTCATGTGGCATGAACGTTAACCCTATATAATGTTATACCACAACCCAAAAAACCATTTCTGCACGCAGTTGCAAGCTCTGTGTACCGTATTTTCAAAGGAACAAGCACCAAGCCTTAACATTCATAAATCTTTTATTGCTAGTTATGATTATTATTATTACTGTGTTAGAAGGGATGACGTTATGTCCCGAACCTTTTGTTATGCTGTTGCTGAGAATGGTATCTACCTCTTCATTCAAACACACACACATCCAGTGCCACCTTTATGTAACCTATAGCTTGATAATGTTCCCTAGTATATGAGAATGTATTGTAAAAGAAATAAATGTACCTGGGTATTGTTTGGTAATATCAATCAGTGCTTGTACAGCGTGTTTGGCTTGGACCCGGTCTCGACTGGGTGGGTCGGGGTCAGGAACGTCTCCAAACCCGTCCTTGCCGTGATAGTTGTATTCATCGGGTTTCTCCCAGCCAAGCAACATGTCCTCACAGCCTCTGTAGATCGGGATCTGGTGGACGATAAGAAATGTATAACATGTCCTCGCAACCTATGTAGATCGGGATCTGGTGGACGATAACAAATGTATTACATGTCCTCACGGCCTCTGTAGATCGGGATCTGGTGGAAGATAAGAAATGTGTTACATGTCCTCGCAGCCTCTGTAGATCGGGATCTGTTGGCAGATAAGAAATGTGTAACATGTCCTCGCGGCCTCTGTAGATCGGGATCTGTTGGCAGGTAACAAATGTATTACATGTCCTCACAGCCTCTGTAGATCGGGATCTGATGGCAGATAACAAATGTATTACATGTCCTCACAGCCTCTGTAGATCCTTTAAAGATTTGTAAGACCTTAGACTACTTGCCTCCAATCTGTCCGCCGCCTTTAGAAGTCGGAGAAGGTTTGAGGTCACCTGTGTTGCAGTAGCGTTGCCCTTGACCGTGGTCAGAGCAACGACGTCGACGTCAGACGCCGCTAGACACATCAGTATAGCTTGGGCGTCATCGATGCCGGCGTCTGTGTCAATGATGAACTTTCTTCTGGTGAGGTAATCAGCTGCCATGGTAGACTAAACGACAAAATGAATCTGATGATAAGGAGGACATCCCTGCTCGCATGTTTCAACAATGCTGTAAACGTCAACAACTTGTGTCTACAATATTAAACCCGTAAAACGAAAGGTCTTCATGTTTTCCTTTGAAAGTAAACTCTGTAGGTATACATCAATCGTTAAACGTGTAGCCTCGTGGCTGTTGAGTGTATGAAGAAATTACCGTTGTCTTACACCAAGCACAGGGTATCGAAGGCAAGGGGGACGTGTCCTCTTGCAGGTTACGGAAGTGAGCGAGTGGTGACGAATGCGCAAAGGACCATGTATGATGAAGGCCCTGAAATGGAGAGGTTTACTCCAGGTCACATGACTGACAATCTCATTAAATCAGATCTTTTACTCGGATTTCATACCCCTGAGTCAAGATCTGACACACCCTCTATTATCTTCCCGAGGCAAGGGAGTTAACTGACCATAAAAGTCCAGTTTCCACCCTTGCCGAACTAGGCTGAAGTTATGTAGTTATGTTTTGGCTGGACTAACGAGTTTATGCATAGTCCAATCAAATTCGCGTAACGAAATCGACACCCGGTTCGTAAACAGCCTTGCTTATTTCGGTCGTTTTGAGGATTTGCAAAGCATGAGTGCCGACAACTTATCAAAAGATATTTTACAAATCTTTTCAGTTTTGAATCAAGATGCTCACGTGATTTGATGCACTTCGTGCAGTAAAAACCCTTTTTATGACAATATAGATCTTGATTATCGATCAGATCGTCTTCACTGGGTGACCCGATTTTATTTGAAGCAAATGCTAATGGGAAATGAGAGGTGAAATCTGATTGGTCAGTCGGAGGAACATAGAAGGGACATAACTCGTAATAGCCACTGGTTGCGCTAAGATCGAACCCAGAAATTCCAGCCAAGTTCTGTGGGTCATGGGGAGGATTCACTGAGAGCTTTTCAGAAACGTTTTTCATAAGTTTGATCACCAGCAAGTATTTGACCGAGGCTAATGTTCTAAGTTTAGATACGCGAAATAATAAACAAATGGTGAACATCTACCTTGGGTCACTGGCCAGCTTATAGTCTATTTTACTCGAAAGGTTCGAAAAATCATGAACACTTTGACAATACGTACATGTCAACTTACTGTAGTTAGATCCGTGAAGATCCTGGCTAGATCCTGCCGTAAAAAGCGACTTTGCTTGTCGTAAAAGGCGACTACCTAGATCGGGCGGTCAGGCTCGCTGACTTGGTTGATGCATGTCACCGTATCCCAATTGCGTAGAATGATGCTCCTGGTGTAAATCACTGGATTGTCTGGTCCAGACTGGAGTATTTACAGACCGCCGTCATATTGCTAGAATGTGCGGCGTTAACCAACTTACCAACAAACAAGCTAACTAATATTAATTAATAGTTATATATTCGTTCATATTACAGATATACAAGTAATAAGATACACGATTTCAAAGCAATCTTACTTCTGCAAAACAGAAGATCACAAAGATTAGTACCACAGACCAAACATCACAACACAATCACAACCACTATTCACACCTCAAACTGATTCACCGTCATGCACGAGAATAGTCAGTTCATTCACTTTCTTCATTATTACAAACAAAGAGATCTCTATCACAAAAAAACCAAACAGTTTTAACTGTGAATCAGTAAACTATTGTACATTAAGCTATAGAATTATCATTGAAACAGAACAGAAGCTGGGAAAGTCGGAGCGAACAAACATGCGTCGGCGACCGCGTCGCATAGACCTCGTTATTAGACTTGTACTGTTCTCTAAGGCAAAAGTTATTAGTTCAAATAATAATTTCAAGATTAAATAAATAATAAGAACATATTGCCCCTATAAGAGACTAGCATCCTTACCTTACATGTGGAGATGGTCATGAATATGCATGAGGGTGTCTATTTTTAGATACGGACTCCTGTGATATCGGTCGCCTTTGAGCAAAGCTAACCTCGTCATGTGATCCCGCTGTTCTGTTAATTGCTCACCCGCCCTAGTAATAGCGGTTGCGATTGTAGTTATGCGATTGTAGCATGATAGTTGTGCGGATATCTCTGTGGTTACTCACAGCAAAACCTCTACATGCTACATCTGAATAATTTGACTTAATGGAAGCGTCGATACAAAATTATGGACAACGCGAGCTTACATGAAATACGGGGGTTACCTTTAGCCTGTGACGACCCAGCACTCGGAAAGCGCGAAGGAAATGCATGTCTGCTGGTTGAAAGTGGAAGCTGAACAGACGTGAATGGACAAATGCACTTCCTTAATATACCGATATTTTACCATCCATGTTTTTGAACAGAGGAGCCTGGCGCGAACGCCTTACCTTTGAATAACATATCCCTGACCCAGACGTGGCCTACTCCGGTGGTTTCAATGTCATGTCGACCGGCAAGGTTTACCGTATCTCCTCTAAAAACGATGTGATCTCAATGAGGTGAGGGAAATAGGGTTTAGAGTTGCTTTCTGCTGATATAGCAACGTGTATGCATCTGTACTGGTACGGACTAATGTCAATGAGTAGTATAGGTAATGATGGTTCTGGCTCACTTCCACTGGAGCTGGATTTATATACCTATACCATCACTACAGGGGGAATTTTTTATGCCAAAATGATTATGTGACTCAACGATAGTCATGAGATTAAGTTAGATTGGCTCTAGCTCACCAATACCTGGGGCCAATCATTGCTTTAGATGAGTCTAAATGGTAATAAAAATATTCTTTATTATTTTTATCGATAAAGCGATATTCAACATTTTTATTAAGTTCTTCGTTCATTTTACTAGGAGACCAGACTATATAACTACACTCTTTTTGTAAATTGATAAGAAACAATTGATAACCGTATTTGGTTGGTTTGACATCACTGATATAATAAAAACCTTGTGGTAATTCTTTCCATTGAATAGCTTTCTCCATTATTATATATTTATGTTAGCATTTGTCTAAATGTAATCACACGATAGTAAACAATCTATTTTTAATCTCCAACCAGTTCTTTGGTTTTGGCACGGAATAATTGACGCGCTTGTTGCCTCCCCTGTTCTATGAACTTTTTTTTCTCGTCTTCGCTAATACCACTGGTCTTACGAGATTTTGATCGAATCTCCTGCTTCATTTCGTTGTATTTGGTGAGTTCCGACAGCACTAAACGAAACTCATCCTCGGATATCTTACAATCGGCCATTGCTGTAGAAATATGATCCTCAATGCTGTTCAACTTTGCTTCGGCGAGTATCCGAATACTATCGTGTTTTAATGCTTTCTTTTGTAACCTACAAGAAATGAATTTTATCGCTATTCCTGCCAGTCCCGAGACTCCAGCGGTTATTTCCATGCCGAGCACGATAGGCGCGGCGATTATAGTTGATAGTAAACCGATACCCGCTACACCGAGTCCCATGCCAGATACTAAAAGCACGGTGTCAACTCCATCCACAGCATTCACGGCTCTGCGATACTTTTTATACAATCCAAGTCTCAACTCCCTATCCTTCCCTATTCGATGTTTTATGTCGCTTATTTGATGTAATCGAAATCCATCAACAGTTTCCATCTTTTCAAATGCTTCACCGAGCGCCGGATATAAACTCATAGTGTATATTACGGTCATATAATAGTCTTTAATTGGTCTTGCTTAAATGTTTTGAGACTATACATCAATCTTATCAAATGTATATTATACGGCAAGAATATCTTAGAAAGAGAAATACTGTCACTTTTAATAATTTGGACCCCCTCGAGGGTTGCAACGGGCGATGCTCCGATATGAATAATACTGCAACGTTGACGCTCGTGTTTCTTGAGCCATTTAATCGATAGACCTGGTAATATATCGAAGGCATCTTCCGGTGCATCTTCGAACAAGACTTCAATAATAAGTGTAGAAAGATTAGGTATTGCACTCAGGTTAACTTTAATATCTTCGAATTCAGTAACCAAATTTTAAGTAACATTTTTTAAGGCCGGACGACTATATAACATATGACCTGGGTTTTCTGGCAGGGGAGTGACCAACACACTTTTTCGTTTTGACGGGATATAAGCCGCGAGTACGATGCCACTATTTATTATCTTAGTTAAATTATGTCCCTTACCCATCATCACATAAGGTGGGGTAATGACGATATTCAGTAGCCACTCGATGTTTGCTTCGATCATAGTCCATTTATTATCGTCGTTGCGAGTAATATTGTACGAAGTGTTTTTAAGGAGTCTACTAACATCAACATCGCTTAAATCTCCTAGATTACCCGTGATTGTGACTTCTTTTCGATTGTATACATTATCGTGTAAGTGTAAAGCGTATAACTTACCATCGGTACCGGGTTTACCAAATCCTTCTGTGTCTCCGAGATCGGAAAGCGCAATTGTATTACATTGTCTTACTGTTCCAGGGCCTGATGCATCAACCATTATCTTTAATATGGAGTGTTACACTTAAGTATCCTGTATGTACAGGTTGGTGTTTTACATCTAATATAGAAATTTTGAGGTCTGAAATAATACCCCGCTTTAATTTTTTATATTGTAATGACGAGAAAGATTCCGTTCTGCCGCTATTGTATTTTTCATTTTTCACTGGAACACTTCTGAGCAGAGTTGAAGGACTTTCTTGTTGAATATTATCCGTCGTGCTTATTTGATCAAGACGGATGAACAACTCTTTATAGGGAACTAAATCGGGTAATTTAACTCCCTGTGTTGTTATGTTGGGTTTTATCTTGTTTACCGGTATAGATTTAGAGTCGTCCTGAAATCCAAGTTTAGGTACTAAGTTGAGGCCAATAATTAAACCTTTTTCTCCAGTGGCTAATTTCAGCATCCCATTCGACTCATTTTGTGTGAGACTCATTCCATTAGGCTTAAAAATTTCATCATTGAGTGAGCATACGCTGTAATACCCATCAGGTATAGTAATTAATCTGTCAATTGTATATTCGTTTATCAGTAAAAATATCTCATTATTTTCTTTCGCAGCACTTATATTGGTCCACCGCGGGTAATACGTTACATCGCATAGGGCTACTTCGAGTTGACCATCCGAGTTATCGATTGTATGAAGCAGTTCAATAGACTGACCATTTGTTATTCCCGGGAGTGTAACATACATATTAAATATACAATGATACTATATCATAACTTAAATATGAAATCGACTCACATTACTAATCAATCGATTATAGTAACTGCCTCCGGTGCTGAGTTTACCGTTAAATTCCACGATATCTTTGAAAAATACAGTTTCACGGCAACTAACGATAAAATGATTGACGATTGGTTTAACCGTCCGATGCAATTTTGGCAGAATCAGTTAAACTTTGCCGTATGGTGTGGGATGTGGTGTATCTGTTAATGCCCCAGGATTTAAACTATATAAGTCTGTTATATTATTTCACGTGTACTACCAGATTAGACGTATACTTAAAGAAATTAGTGCTCCATTACCGATGGATCCAGCATGGAATCATGCAAATAATCATTATAATAAGAGGGCCTTCGAACGTATTTGTAATGAATTTAATGTTTCTACGAGTAAAGATTGGCGCATTAGTGGACCTAGCCATGGTCTAGGTATTCCGTACAATGGACAAAGAACTATTAAAGATAAAAGCGATTATTTAATTAAAGCGGGTGTGATCCCTTCAGGCTTTGCTCTCTCGGATAAACAGTTTAGAGCAGATCGTATGAACTTTGAGAGTGGCATTCCTTATATTATAACAAAGTTTGTGCATCCAAACGATACAACAGATGCTTGGAATGAATTTCTTAATGATAAAACGGAAAATAATTTTACTAACCCAGGATTTGAAAGAGTTAATGAATCGATAAGAACTTATGTATGGGCAATTCTCGGAGCACAATCGCAAACACGAACATCCATTATTGTTACTGGGACGGCGTTCGATGCGCAAAAACAGTTTGTCTCAAACGTGGAGGACGCCATTAATTCACCAGTTGACATACCATCGTCTATAAAGCGTTTTCAAGATGCATTACAGTACGCTCAATCCAAAGTGGACTTCGTTTATGCGCCGGGACTATACATGTCTCCGAGTAATATGGAACTTAAGATCGGTCAAGTGATAGGCTATAATAATAAAATTGTTATCGCTACCGATCAACAAAAACCAGGTATAAATTCAGATATTAACGTCGAATTAATAACGCAAACAATCACGGGCGAAAAGGGAATAGTCAAGCCGCAAACACCACATGTTTCACAACCATCTACTAATGCACACGCACAAGTACCACCACATATTGAGGCTAAAAATCAACAACATATCGATGAAAAAACAGCGCTTGTAGTGGGTGGAGTCTCGGTTGGTTTACTCATGATTTGGTGGTTAAATAGTTCTTAGCGAACTGATTTGGTTAAATAGTTCTTAGCGGATACGTACAACAGCCCTGCAATTGCTACGATCAGCCCCCACAAGTTTTGACTAAGCCAAGTGGTGGTCTTAGCTAATAAATTCAATAGCCAGGAAACAACACTCCCTATTATACCGGGAAGTGCGGCCGCGGCTTTCTCAGCAAGCTTTCCCAGTGCTGAACCTAATGCTTTTAAATGCTTTTTTATCCACTCTTTTATACCATTTTTATCGTTGGGCGGTGATCCGCCACCAGTACTGCCACCTGTTAACGAGAGAGTCAAAGTCGATATAATAAATCCCAACGCGGTTAAAATACTGGCAATGGTTATTCCCTGTTCTCTGAACAATGTTTTAATTTAATCGGCCAGTGTAGTGTCATCGTTGAGGACTTGATCGATAGTTTCTCGAATACGACTGATTTGCGAACGAAGTGCCTTTCTATTACTGGAAGCAGCTTCGAGGCGGGCCGATCTTTCGTCTTCTAAGTTACGCAATCTTTCCGCTACGCGGCGTCTACTGAACTCATCGCCCGCCTGTTCGAGTTTTGTTTTCTCTTTAGCTATATGCTTGTCGATTTCGGATATCTTGGCTGTATTATTGATGAGTTCTCCCCATATTGTTCGCATTGCCTTGTCAAGACCTCGTAATTCCCTAATACTGAACTCCGAATATGGTACCTGTAACGTGGAATTATCGTAATAGGTATCTAAGATTTCTCCGAGTCCGTTCGAGGCCACCATCGAGGCTGCTTCCAAATCATCTGTATTACCGAGTTCAGTACGCACGGTTCGAAGAACCTTAGTAGTCTTCGCGGAAAGTCGTCGGTAGTCCACAAAACCTAATTTATCACGAACAGTGCTGATGCCGTGTTTAGCGGCTATCGTAGACAAGGCTAGGGGCTTACGAGTACGAGAATGCATAAGATCAATATCCGGA